AGCTCGAGCCCGAGGCCGAGCAGCGGCCCGAGCCCGCTCCGCCGCCTGCCGGGGCGGGGACACGACCGGGGCACTCCCGAAACCCGCCCTGTGCCCGCCCCTGTCTCGGGAGAGCCGGTCCAAACTCCCAGCCCTCCGCACCGGTTCATCATCAGGCTTTCGGGCGGTCCTGTCTCCCGGAACGGGTCCGAGCCGAGGGGTGCTCGGCCGGGAGAAGGGGTGTTTCACAGACCAGCCTCTCTCGCCCCCGCCTGAACCTGACCCCCACAGGCGAGGGCGAGCCTCGAAAGCGGGCCCACCGCCGGCACCGACTCCCCTGCTCGTGCCCCCAGCAGCCAGCTCGGGACTGCGGCCGGGCGCAGGGTCGGGCTGGGTGTGCTGAGCAGGGCCCGTCAGGCTGCCGGGAGCAGAGTGTGTGGAGGAGCGGGGTCAGGACACTGGTGTGGCAGAGCGAGAGCCAGCAGGACCAGCAGAGCAGAACTGGGAGCCTAGACCGACACTTGTGAAGCATTTTGTGGGAACCAGGGCCTGGTTTGAAGTGTCCCCCTCCCCAGCTGGAGGAGGGTTTGGGGCTTTTGAAGTGCATGGATGGTGGTGCTGATATTCCCTTCCTATTATCTGGTGCCTGTTCTTGGAGAGTTTAATCAATATCATTGCTTATTACGTAGACTCTCAGTGTACGTACCTTAGTGTTAGTGTTACTTATTAGTGCCTGTCCCTTTCCCCTTAGCCCACTGGCTTGTAACCCTAACCCTTAGCATCCCCTACATAAATGTAGGAACTTCATGTTTCAGCCTGTGCTGACAAAGTTTATTACTTGATAGACTGTTTTAGGACCCCAAACCACACTTTAATAATAGTTCTCCTCAGCCAACTTCAAGGCTACAACTGAATGAGGTTCCAGTAGTTATATTTTAAAAAAGGCATTCAAAAGTGTCATTGTTTCAACCACGCAGCAGCATAATGAAAGATGTCAGAATACAGTTTTGGTAGTGTTCTTAGTACAACAGTGATCATCTCTTCCTATTTCAGTTCTTCACATTGTGACTTTTTTATTAGGGATAGATGATACGAATTAGTTACTTCGGTAAGGTCTTGAAGTAGTCCAAGATTTGTTTCGCAGTAGCTGTGTTCCAGTTTTGTCCTTTTAAAGGGCCCTCACATACAGCAACATATGTCATCAGGATTTTTTCTCCTTGCTCTCGGAAATCCAGCACTGCACTGTAGGAGCAGTAAAGTGATTCACTATTAGATTCCAAATTTGTTTTGTCGCTTTCTTGCTTCCCTTCTTCACAATACTTCAGGCCCCAATAACACATTTCTCCACTGTACATCATGGCTAGCAAATGGGTATCACTAAATATACCTGCAAAAATAATTGAGATTTTGAACAACATGCTGTTAATTACTAGCAAAATTAGTACGTTTCAACAACAGGCCACAAGAATTTTCCCCAAAACATGATATCATTTTTTCTACATAACGCTCTGTAAAATGAAGAGGGAAGGGTGAAGTAATCTGCCCTACCTAGATCATTCATTAGGCCAGCGTTACCCATTTTTAAGTAAGGGTGCCATGGGACAAAAAAGGTTGGGAAATGCTGCATTAGGCTATTGAGAGTGCTGAGGATACTGCTCCAATGAGAATCCTAGTTCATTTACTCTATCCACTCTGCTTTCCAGTAAGTTAGAAGGTTTAATACCGAGCTTGCCACATACTGACATTATTTCAGAAAGCTTTGCTTACCTTACCTATTTTATAACCCATTGTAGTAAATTCAGAAAAAGTCACTTCAAAGGGAAACAATTTTTATTAGATACACATACACATTTTTGCATGTCCGCAGCTCCCAATTCAACTTTGTATTTAGCATTTGGACATAGGGCCCTATAGTTAATATTCCTCAGCCTTTAGCACTTTAACAAAAACATGTTCACTAAATCAACATAATATTTAAAATGAGAGAGACACTCTATTAAGCTCAACCTCTTACATTTTAAAAAGAAATTGTTCTTGTGACAGGACTAAACTAAAAGGCCTTGATGACTGTCCTATTCTTCCCAACTCCACAACATACTTTCTATAACAATTTGCATGATTCATTGAACCAACCCATACAATCAGTTTCATCTCCAAGGTGAGCACTCTCTCAAAAGGATCAGAGGAATAATGGTAATTGCCCACTATTTTTAACTTTAAATTAAAAAACAACACAAGGACAGAGGGATTACAAAGCTAAACTCAGCATTATTAAGAAGCTTTGAGTTCTCTAGATATGTGTACAATGCTTTCCAAGTTACACATCCACTAAATAGATATAGCACACATTGTAACAGTAAAATTCTCCCAGCTCTGTCCAATGTGGAAGCAGCATTTCTAGCAGCATGCAAGTGGTAAATTCCCTACATCTATTTGATCCTAGACCTTTCCACTGAGATTCCTTAGCACCAATTGTAATCATGCTTGTACACTAAACATGATTACTGACAGATTTAAAAAACACACATATGGTTATCAAGCAGTCTTCAGATGCGAATGCACCTAGACACTACTGGTCTGGATCAGAACTGAACCTCTATGTTCAATGTGAAAGACTATGTCTTTCAGCTATTGATTTTCCCAAGCTGAATTTATAGTTATGCTAGTTTTCTTTTCTTCTCTCCCTTCCACAGTTCAGAAGACACAAAAGGAACAATTTGTTGTACCTCACTGCCCTTGGGTGTTTCTGTTATTTTTTGTTCTTAAAAGGGGAGGCTATTTGCAACCGAGTAAAATTCTCCCTGCTTTAAAAAAGTATAGTGAAAGGGCTTATAGAAGGAACAAGGAAAAAACGTATTTACCATCACTCAGAAGTCTTGCTGTGTCTGCATCATCAAATGAGACTTCTTCATTTAGCTGAATAGGGCATCTAAATCTAAGCATCTTTAGCAAATAATGGATTCCATCATTAAGACACTAAAATATGATACACAAAGAAAAATTAAAAGAAAGCATTCATTGCAAGTTAGATGAACTGTAATTCAATTAATTTTGGACAGAATTATTTTCTATTAAACATTTTATATTAAATAGGAGGCATGTTTCCAAGGCAGAAGTCATATTTTTTTAAAGTTTATTAATCAGCATTCATAAATCCATGTAACTGATTCCCCATCTCCAGTACTCAGACACTACAATTATATTGCTTTATTTGTGACTTTAGAATGCTCAGTTTTGCTAGTTTAAATTGCTATTTTTGAGAAATTATATCTTCAAATTTTGCATGAGCTCAAATTTAATATACAGGTTTATAACAAGAAGTATTTTCAGGTAGCCTTTTTATATCTACTGAAGACAAATAAATATTCAACAAATAAATTGCAGAGGCCCAGAGCTCAATTTTTCAGAAAGTGCTCTGGTGACTTAGAATCTTATTTCTGAATGTGATTTAATATATTGCCTGTAACAGAATCTCGGTGGGATTTAACAGTCTACAAGCTAATGTACATAGGTTGGCTGCATCAGTACAAACTACAGTGTAAATTAAGCTATTACAGCTATGCTAGTGTAACTTGTCAGATAGACACTTATTCCATTAAAATAATTTCTTTAATCAGTGTAGATGACTACACATTGGAACAACAAACGGAAGTCTGCACTCCTGTTCCAGACTGAAGGTGACCAGGAGGGGCTTATTACTGGGGCGGGGGGGGGGGGGGGG